TTCACATACATGTGTATTCTATAACTATAAATCCCCATTGCAAGAATTATTTAATATCTGATACATTTGCATTATAGAATTTAAAAACTTAGGTTTCACAGTAGTTCAGCAATCTGGCCACGCTAAATTATAAAACCTGTCTGCTATCTGAGTTCTGCTAATTTATTCCATGTCTCATAAGTATAATGCAAATTGGATACTTCACCAATAAATAATTTTAAGATGTCAAAATCAATCACCATTGTACCATGATGCCGGATCTGTAATCATTCTACTTTCTCTTTAGGCATATATTTATGAGAAATTTAAGAGGTAATCAATCACAACTTCTCTTACTTATGAATAAATAAGACACCTCCTGACTAGAACATTTCAAATGATCTTGCAAAGCTGAAAATGAGAAGTGAAGTTTGTGGATGTTTATATTTATATATAGAGAGAGAGGTGAATTAAGATTTATTGGGGCCCTGGGCACAAAAACAATTTGGGCCCCCCATGCCCCGGCAGCCATGCCCACCCACTTTTCAACATGGGCATAGTAGCCTCGGGCAGGAACAGAATGGCAGCGGCAGGGGCTGTCCTTTGTGGCAGAGGGAGCTCCTATGGTGATCAGCTCTCCCACTGCAAAGCACAGCCCTCCTTAGTGGTGCCAGCCTCTTCCTGGTGGGGGGCTGAGGTGGGCCTTAGCCCCCCACTCACCATAGGGCTGTGTCCCCTGCTCCTCCTCTTCCCCCAAGGCCCTGGCCAGGCAGGAAGCTAGAGCTGGGCTGTGGTAAGCGCCACTCATGGAGCCCAGGCCACTGTGGGGTGCCTCAGAGTCTCCACCTGTCCTGGGCGATGCATCCCGTGGGGTGGGGAAACTGGCCAAGGGTTGCTCTTGGGCCCCCTGACTCCCAACCTGAGGCAAGTTGAGAGTCCGGGGCTCCCCACAGTGGCCTAGTCTCCCTGGGCGGCTCTTACCATGGCCCTTCCAGCCTGGCCACGGGGTGGAGTCTCAGGGGAAAAGGAGGAGCAGGGGATGGGACCACAGTTCCTGCACTGGTGTCCCCCACTCCACTTCTACACAGGTTCCGGCGCTGAATTGGCTGGGGCTCCTGGGCATAGGCATACTGGGCCCAGGCATTAATCCACCGCTGTATACACATGCATTATTAGTCTGTATTAGCTGATATTGCTAATAGTTGGTATTAGTTGGACTGGCAAAGTCCTTTGATGGCATACCAGCTGTTCTGTCACATCACTATACTATTGGATTTTTTGTTGCAAACCAACACAGCAGCATAGAATTCAAATAAACATTTCTCAAGTATCCTCACAGAGAAATTATCATTTTAGAGTGATCTGAAAAACAACACTCTGTGTAGTTTTTCAGACACAATTGCTTCACAGTTTTTCCATTTGAGTTGGGATTCATGCAATGACAGGGTTTTTTTAATACAACTCCTAAATATGAGTCTAGAAGAATGCCTGATTAATAATACTGAAGTCTTCTTCCCTTATTATAATTTGCATGAGAAATACTGAACATTTGGAAGACCTTTGATCCCATTATCTCTGGATTTGTGAGCCAAAATTTCTGTATCTGTTGTGTGAAATTATAGGGCCTAATATTGTAATCTCTCATGCTCATTTGCAAACAAATTGATAGTATGATGTAAAACTTACTAATATCCTGTAATTCTTTTTTACTGTCATGTAAGAAGCTACATTGCATGTACCCAGTGGTTAGGGGCCAAATCCTGCAGTTCCTTTAATTCATACTGGCCAGTGATGTAGGTGTCTCAAGTATTAAAAAGAACCCGGTGACACAACTGTGCTAAAAAATACATGATTATCTTCGCCTCGGAGTAATAACAATAGTATATTTAGCTTTAGCACTTCTGAGACATAGATTTCAAAGTGTTTGACAAAGGTAGGTAGGTCATTTCCTCTTTCACAGATAAGCAAACTGAAAAGCCAATGGGGGGGGATCACATTGACTACAAGGGGAGCAGTATGGAGCCCCAACATGACTCATTTAAGATAATACCAAGAGTTAGTGACAGAATTACAAATAGTCGTGTCTCCCCAACTCCTATTCTTGTGCCCTATGTACTGGATTGCACTTCTGTCCCCATCATTCTATGCCCTCTCTCTCATGTTAAAGATGGGCACTTTTGCTGGGGCCCCACTTTTGCCAATTAGCCCTGAGATGGGCTTCTCAGTTTATTAAAAGTCCATAGTGCAATTTTTGTGTGTAAGGTTCAAAAGGGCAGGAAAACCTCGAGCAATCAGCTCATTGTATGACTGGGAAGAAAAAAGTGAGCTTGCCCTTTTAGTCAATGTTCAGTCTCACCCAGAATACTAGATAAGACAGTGATAAAATGCTTGAAGTTACTGATACCTATAAAAAAGAGAAACGGCTAGACTATATCCGTTTTAATTTTGTGGTCTCTCTTTCTCTCTCTCTAAAAGAAAATCTTTCTTGTCTAGAAGATCATAGGGCACACTGTGATTGTTGTGGCCATTTTGATGACAATTTAATACTGCTGGACAACTAGGACTTGATAATGTCAGTTCATCATGGCTAAAATATTGAAGCTTGAGTGCATAGAATTGTCTTCAGTGGGAGCTGTGGATAGTCAGCACCTCTGCAAATCAGGATCTTTACTGTGGTGCCTACATGTGGATCTAGGTGTTACATATTAGGTACTCAAGTTTGTACATTTTGGCCCTTTTGTCCACAGACGCCCACTGAAGACTGACATGGGACAACCACATGCCCAGAGAAGACTAACATGGGATAACCAAAGCACAGCAAAACCAGAAAGGGCTAGATCTTTAAAGCTCATGTGTAAAATGGGACAAAATGCACAAAAGCACAGCAAGGAAAAGAGATGGCTGAATTCTCCAATGTTGGCTCAACAATGCCATTTCCACCAATGTGTCTATAGGTGTAATGAGTATGAAAGGGACTTGTGCTGGGACAGATTTATGGAAGAAAAGGAGTCACAAGAGTGATTATCACTTTATGGTTAACTTTTTCTTTACCGGTCTCATCTGAAACCAGCGGTGTCTTTCATCTAGCAATGGGATTGCAGTGCCACAGGATTAACCAACTAAATGTCAATGGGCCATTCTGGGAGGGAGGCTTAAAATTGTGTTAGAAGGGCCATTTCAGTAACAGCATTCTGAAACAATAGGAACAATGGAGTCAGAAAACAAATTGCCATTTCCTGGAAAATGTCTTCCTTTCTAAAAATATTAATAGTTACTGCCATGCCTTGAATTAAGTGATTTATCTAGACAGCACTAATGCACATTCTGCCAGTACAGGTGCTGGTGTACAGCTAAAGTTAAAAGAACATCATCATGCATATAAGTAACCTTAAATAAGACAGACCAGCTATGTGAACTGCAAGGGAAGCTAAATGGTTATCTGAGTTGAATGTCTTAAGTCACACAAAACTGTCATATGAAAAAGGATAAAAGTCCAAACTCTCTGTTGGAGTAGATTGGCACCACTCCAGTAAAGTCATTTGTACCATCAGAGAGTTTGACCCCAAATCTTTATCATTCAGCTGCCTTATATTAGAAGATTTGGTAGTGGGATATATCGATGTCTAGACATAAATGTTCCTGAGTGTAATGTAATTATGTCTCAGAACTCATTTCTGTTTACATGCTAAACTGCTGTGAGCAGGACAAGACCATCTAAAGAAATAATATTACAGGGAGAATATATAGTTTAAACATAAAGGCAAGATAATGTATTTCCATAACATGCACAAAAATAAGCAATGTTTCAATTAGGGGAGAGAGAGAGAGAGCGGGAGATGGTAAGAGCTGCAGTCAAATATCCCAGCAAAAGCTAATTTTTTTTCTGTAGGGACTTGTTTCTCATCAGTGCAATTTTATTGTTGGTATAATCATCTCTTACCATAATTCACACCCAAAGTGGTAAAGTGCAAATTACTTTCAAAACCACATCTTTTATAACCACAGAAAAGAGGGAGAGGGAGAATCTGGAAAATGAAGAACTGTAGCCCAAAGAAGCTTCTGTTGTACTGCTTTCACTTGCCAGCAAATCTTTCAGTGGGTACCCTACATCTGACATCCTTTTCAGAGGTTAAATGCAATCTATTATCAGATCTGTGTCCCTTAAAGAAAGATAAACAAAAAAACAGAGCAAACATTTTTTTTCCAAGAGATGTGTTATAGAAAAATGCATCTGATGTACTAAAGATGTAAAAGGACCTGATCCAAATATCACTGGAGTCAATGGAAAGGTTCCCATTGATTTCAGAGGGCTTTGGATCTGACCCTTAATGCAAACTAAACCTTCATCATTTCCATTCCATGTCTTTTCTTCCAAAGTACCAACAGAAAGAGATCCTGCACCTGTACTGGGCATCTGAGGACAATGCAATAATCCCCTGATAAATTAATGTGTATTGAGCTATCCAAGATGACAAGAAGCCAGGATTCATTCCTTTTCATTTGCATTAGGTGATCAATACTGAATGTTCTACAGAGGAGTCACACTGTTGTGTAATAGCTTCCTAATTAATTGTAGCTTTCATTAAGGAATGCCGGGCATGGGCGTTATTTTCAAGTGTTTAAAGTGATTCTTCGGTTTTCTTGTAGTAATACTTAGGGGTCCTTTCAGCTCATTTTCAGTGCACCTGCCCTGACGTGTGAAATATTATTATGAAGTTGCTTTGAATGCGTCACTTGCTCTGCTCTGATGACTAATCTTTGGTGTCAGGGGACAGTGGATCAAAATCCGTCTCTGAGCTGATGGCAGGAGTTGCGGGTTGGAGATGGGCGCCTTCTGCGCAGACTTTGCGTCATTTGAAACCCAAAAGGAATGTAGTTTGTGGTGGACACGGACACTCAAGGGGTCACCTCCAAGGAAAGGCTCCTTCCGGGGGTCAGAGGGAAAGAGGAAGGAAGGGATACTCAGAGTAATTGACTATTGATCGCAAAATACAGCTGGGGGGAGGGGGGGCCTGTCACGTGTTTCACATAACTACAAGGAAGTAATTAGATTTAGGCAAATGAAGCTCCCTTGGCCCTCCCCATCTCCAGGTATATAAACTGGAGAGCTCTCGGGCATGCATTCAGACACGCTAGGAGAGAGCAGCGGAGAGCGTCGCGCTTCCCCATTGCAGTAAGTGCGCTCAGCCCCCGGGACGCGCCAGCCGCTGTAGCACATTCCTCTGTGCGGAGACTCTGTTGTTAGGACCTAGGTGGCGATTCCTCCTGCCCATTGCTTTGCTCGTTAGATCTTGTCTATGCTGAGATGCGCGGTTCCTCTTGGGACGGATGCGGAGGGGGAGAGGAGTTATATGCCGTACTCACGCCTTTCTTTTCTTTGTTACAGCAGACAGCAACTTCGAGCAACTGGCCGGAGGGCTCGGGACACTCGTCCGCCACCCACCCACCGCACTAGGGGTACTGCCTAGCAGGAGGAGAGGCGAAGATGAAAATCCTCGTCGCTTTTGCAGTGCTTTTCCTAATTTCAGCGCAAGTATTTGCAGAAGAAATCGGAGCCAATGATGATCTGAATTACTGGTCTGACTGGTCCGACACTGACCAACTCAAGGTGAGCTAGAGAGCCTGGAAATGCTCAGCTCATGCAAGTAAGTCGAGGGGCAGCTTTTATAAGTAAATGCATGAGCTTTGGGCGCCCGTCAGGCGAGAGGATTCTGATCTTTGTCTTGCAGTGTGTCTTACCGTTACATTTCCTAATTTATAAACGCTACAACCCATTTCCGTTTAAGACCGAGAGGTGACGACTGCCAATGAATTGCTGGGTGACTGCCAGCACTTAGCCCTTTAATATGCGGGTCCAGCGCGTTAAACGGTTACTGTCTTTGGGTGGCTCCCAAACCCGCTTCTGGTCCAGGTAACTGATGCGTGCCGCTTTCACACCAGGTTTAACAAGGTTCCCCCCTCTGCGAGAGCAACTCGCGAGTCGTTGTTCTCACGAAGGGCAGGGAGCCGAGTGACATCGGGGAAAGCTGTTACGCAGTGAAACACCTCGCTCCCGACGCAGTTCGCTTGCGGCTGTGAAGCCGTAACGGGTAGATGGGGAGCTCCGAGCGGGGCGCTGCAGCCGCAGTGAGACGGGGACGAGGGCGTGTGCGCTGGGGGGACATTACTCCCAGGTCTGTCCGAGTCGGGTGGCCCTCTGTGGGGTGGGCTTGGCGGCGAGCCGGGGGACAACACTTGGCAGTGCCGCGGCAAGGTAACTTTTGCCTCCGCGTGCCATAGCCCAACCGACCCGCTTTCCCCGGGACGTACGAGTGGACTCGTTTGAAAAATAACCCGGCCCCAGGACGCAACTCTGGCGACACGTGCCTCCTTCCCGCTCCGTGCGAGCGGCCGGCTCCGCCGCCGGCCACCCCCAGCGGGGGCGCCCCGGCCCAGCGAGAGAGAAAATGCCCATCCCCCCGCGCCGGGCCTCCTTCCTCTGAGGCGTGGCCGCGCCCCTGGGGCCGCTGGGCGCCCCGCTCGCCGCGTGTCTCTTGGCCCGTCCCCGTTCCCCGGCGGACACCTGTTGCCAGACGGCTGCTGCCGCGTATTCAGGCGCCTACCGCAAAGCGTGTGGCCTGCAGCCCGGGCACGTGGCGGTTCCCCTGGCACTGGCCAGCCTAGCTGAGGCAGGCGGGGGAAGGTGACCAACCCTGATCGGACCTGCACGCACAAAATAGTTTTCCTCCAGGCGAGCCACCAGAATCCAAACGGATCGAAATCCCCCTTTTGGAAAGCAAGGCGCCGCTCCGGCTCGATCCCGGTTCAGATTGCCCTTACCCTACAGCCGCTTCTTCTCAAGCACTCGCGGTGCAGAGTCCACAGGCAGGCAGCAGGCGTGCCCGGTGCAGCACGGACCGGCAGCCAGAAGTTTGTAATGGGGCTGCTGGGGCCTAGTCTTAATTTGCTGGATGCTATTCCGGGGACTCCCCGGGTTTTTTTCCCCCCTCCCGGATCTCCAGGCTGTGGTGCGTAAAATGCTGACACTCCCCTCTACATTTCAGGAGGAGCTGCCCTTACCCTTGGAACACTTTCTGCAGAGAATTGCCAGGAGACCCAGACCCCAGCAGTTCTACGGGTTAATGGGCAAACGAGATGCTGGTGAGATTGCATTCCCTTTCTGTGCTAGAGGACTGATTTACACACATCCGAATCTAGGGGTCCTTTAGCCTCCTGCCTTTTAAACCACTTCACAGTTCACAATTCTCTCTGCTATTGAGGAGGCACTATAGGCATTTCGGTTCATGTAGTGTCTTTGAACTGGACTGCGCCCAGTTTATGACAACTCATTTTGAAGAAGAGGTAATGAGGATAAAATGGGAATTTGTTTCAATTTTTTTTTTCTGTCATGAGTGAGACTTACAATCACCCCTGGCAAATGTAAATCTGACCTTAAATGCTTTAAGAGAAAGCAAACACACAGATGTGGAAACCAATTTCATTTTGCTTCCCAGGGTACAATCAGCATAAATTATTTTGAGTACCATTTTATGTCCGGATTATTTTCAGGACCATCTCAAAGATACATCATTGTAGACCTCTTTTCAGCATAACTATCTGTGCCTTTTATAATAATTTGTTTTAAATATAAATTAAATGTACTCCAGCTACTGTAAGTGTTTTTTATTTTGGATAAAATTAATCCATCATTTGGAAAAACAGCAGACATATGATTTGGTCTTTATAGTAAACAATTCTTAAGTGCACACACATTTTGTAAACACAATTAAGAAAATAATCAAATGAGATTTGTGGGCTGGAATGTATGCCTTTAAATTATTATTGTCCTGATTTCTAGTTCAAAAGGTTTACTAAGAACGGGGGAAATAACTATTTTGAGTCTTAATGAAAGTTAACTAATTCTTGATTTATAGAAGATATTATATCTTAGTCATTAATATACTGTATAGCTCAATGATTGATCTGGCAGTGAATTATTGCACTAATTCTCCAAGACTGGGAATATACAGATTACAAGGTTGTTTCTATTTCTTCATAGACATCACATAGAGATCACTTTTTTATATTTATCACTATTAAAGCTACTTTTTTTTTCCCCCTTCCTCTAGGATATGGCCAAATCTCTCATAAAAGTAAGTTGGAAAAGATTTTTTTTCCTAAACAATTATCTAAACAAGTACAAAGTGAGAAACTGAATTGTTCTAATTTTGAGGTTTCTATTGTGTCACCATAGCTTGGAATGCTAGTGTTTCTTACTAAAAACACTGAAACCAAGAGTGGAAGAGAAATATTTCTAGCTCTGGGTTTACCAAATAATCTAACTAGAGATAGGCTTGATCATGGTTACCTACTCTGAACAGCCCCTCTTTGGGGCTGTCTCACAGTCAGTATGGGATTACTCCCAAAATCAAGATACATGGATTTAGATGGCAGAAGCAAGCAAACTATAACTTCAGATCCCTGGTTTGATTCCTGATCCAAAGTTTACACTTGAGATATATCAATGTTCTAAATTAAGTTATATTATATCTAACTGATGAATGAGTTGTCACATAAGCAAGTGCACCTGCCAAGGTGAATCAGTGGCAACATGAATCAGCGTGGACATCCTCATTCTTGTATGTCACCCAGGAGAAATCATATCATTCACACTGAGATGTATTTTTTCCCCCTCTGGAACTGTCGAAGATGCTTGGATGAAATTCAAAAGCATGGCTTTTAATAAGTAAAGATTGATGATTTTAGATTTTGTGAGACCTTAGCTATCCAAGGAGGTTAAAAACATGCCAGAGTTCTGTGCTAATGGCTAGACTTTATCACTGGGATTACTTGTCTGAATGACAACTTTAAAAAGTCTCATCCTAAAGCTCATGCCAGATAACCAGATGTAGCTACTGGTTGAAGCCAAAATTATAGCCTTCAAATGTCGTCTTTATGAAGATCAGAGAGATTGACCTCTGAGAGGTTTTATGGTAATTTCCTTGATTATGTGTTCATAATACAGGATAAAACTCTTTCCAAAGAGGAATTTGCACACTTTGTTCACATCAGAATAGTAAAATAGAAGTAGATCCTTTTCAAAGTGTTTCTCTCGTTGTTTGAAATCAGGCTAGCTACTGCTACAGGTGCCGCATACATTATGGGCTAAATCCTGCAACTCTTAACAAGCCTCAGTGAGTGCTTCCAGGGTCACAAATGGAATAAGGACTGCAAAATGTGGCCTCACGAGAAGTTAAAAATCCTGTATAGGCCAGGCTGTGGAGTCCTAACACATATTGGTAGGTACTTAGCATTTACTTCTGTGTAGTCCTTTGACTAACCAGCATGACTAAGGACTCCATAATTTGGCCCATAGAGTCCTTTGGTCCATATTATTTTATGTGAAATAATTCATGGAACAGATAATCCAACAGACCCAAGATACAGGAAGCAGAAGTCTGTCAAGCTATAGGGCCTGATCAGTCTTCTATTGAAGTCACGGGAAGTTCTACCATTGGACTACAATGAGGTCAAAATTGGCATCAGTTATCTGGTCACAGTCTGTTTTTAGCCACAATGGAAAGGCACTTACTAGCTCTGGATCAGACCCGATGAGATAGGTGAGGATGATGTGCATTCTCCATTTATACTACATTTCAAGTGGTATCAACTTTAGTAAGTAGGAAGAATATTTGTGGAGTCTACATCTTCCTTGTATGTCTCATGAAAACAAATTGCCTCAGAAAAACTGCATATTGAAAATGTATTAAAACACCCCCAAATATATTTTTTCAGGGTATAAAACAGACTCCTTTGTTGGACTTATGGGCAAAAGATCTTTAAATTCTGGTATGTATAAACAATGGCTAAGACTAAAACTACCTCTTAATTCTACTATTACCGTTTCATTCTCTCCCAATAAACTGAAGAAGCAGTCTTGACGTGAGGCAATTCATAAATGACAGATGAGCTCTTATAAGAGGGGGAAAAGTTGCTTAATAAAAATATTTTAATCTGAAGGTCATTTCAGTGCTTATGAAAATGAGGGAGGATGGGCAATAGCTTGAGCCAGGCACAGTTCACAGGTGCCATCTAAATTTCCCTAAAGAATTCTGCTTAAGCCCCTCAATCCTGACCTGTAGCATCCATGTTGTTCCAGTTCTCAGAGGATTTGAACCTAGATCACCTCAGGTAGAAGGTGCACTACCTCCTGCACCAACTGACTTTTGGAGGTTTAATGGGAAACTGTTTTTATCTTGTACACTACTGACTGTGAGCTTAAAGTCCTCCCATCAAAAGTGGCCCCACCTTTTGCCACAAGGTGTAAAGGTTTTATTTGTTAAACATCCACAACTTTTGTGAACTTTTAATTTTACATTCAAATAATGACTCAATAAACAAAGTGAAGCAGCACTTTAAACTACTAAAGTATTGCAGACAAGTGCTCACCATGACTTTCCCTCCCCTTTCCCCATATTATCTACATTTCCCTTAATCTTGCCTGTTTTTATTGTGAATATTGCATATGGATAACTCCAGTCTTCCGTTGGCTGTAACTTGCTTTATCCACAAAGCATTAGTTAGCTATCCAGAAAAAGATTTTTTTTAAAGTGATCTAATGCCTGTTTGAGAATTATTTCAGTAGCTTTACTGTTTTGTTAAATGGATTATAAAAGTTAAATGGCCACAAACATTTTGATATTACACAGGTGCACATTGTAAACTATTTTCTGTAATTACAGTTGTCAGTGATTTTATTTTTAACTAGACTGTAGTCAAAGATGTAATATAGGTCTCTATATCCTAACTAGTTTTGCAAATTTCCCTGAATCAGGAGCAATTCAGTATAGTTGCTCTTACTGTGAGGGTAATAGTGATTAAATGTACATATACTTGTAATACATATTTGCTGCTATAATAGCAAATGGCATCAAGTGATAAATCTGCTTCAGTTTACTTTGGGATTAAATTTACCTTATTATTTTAAGTATGAAAATCAGAGATGCAGTGAGTGTAAAATGCTCTTCTTTGATTACTTTCAAATTTGCTGGTATAGTTAGAATACAACTATGTGGTTAGTTAACTATAACCTGGATGAATAATGAAGTTGTAGACAGGCTTTTTAATAGTAACATACCAGCCTGATAGGTAAACCAGTTTCTTAGAATTTAGCATTCATACTCCTCTGCCTAGTTGGGAAATGAGGATGGAATAGTAAAGGTTTGATTCTGCTTCTGTTAAAAAGTATGCAGTTCAACCACAACTGCAACATTGTTTGCCCCTATACAGATCAGGAAAAGGTTCCTGAGGAAGATTTTCTTCATTTAAGAGTAAAGTTATATGTTGGAAATGTGCTGGGTTTCTCCCCTCACTGGCTAATACAATTTCTTCAGAAAATTACTAAGTCCTGGCATTAGGAGAGGCTTTGTATGGAAGCTATGCTAATGTCCCTTCTGGTGGGTGGAAATTTAAATTAGAGGTCCCGTGGTACCATAATCCTGGTGATTTGCCCAACATTTCCTGTCTCAGTAAAGCAGGTTCCAATATGTAATGCCTTGATCTGCAAAAAGTTAATGTAGGCAGATCCATGCACCCACTCAGAGCCTCATGAAACCTATTAAAATCAATGGCCTGCAGATAGCCATGATAACTAAATAACCATAAATGCCAGGGGAATTTATACTGATAAGGGGTACAGAAATTGCAGGTACTGGGGGCATGGCAGCACCCACTGGCTTGAAGTGGTTTCCATCATATATAGGGTTTAGTTTGTTCAGTGGTTTTCAGCAGCCCACTATAAAAATTGTTCCAATACCATTGCAGATCATGATTTGTGTATAGTCCAGAATACTTTTTCAGTGAATTCAATAGTAATACCTTACTTTCTTTAGCAGAAAGTAAGATATTATCAAAACTTAACCAGAGAGTAATGTTTTAGTGTTTAATTAGACACACCCTGAAAGCTGTTTCTTTAATTTGGGCCTTCACTTGGTTTTTCCTTAACTCCTATGGAGCAGAGTCATAACTCAAGATGTGCAGCACTGGATCCCTCAAAATTAGCAAGGCATTTGCATGTAATAGTTATGCATCTGCATGCTTTACTGAGCATGGTTAGGAATATTCTTGATGTCAGAATGGGGGAAAGGTCTCCCTCATGATCCATGACACAGCCTTCTGGCTTAGAGGCAGATATAATTATGATTAAAAAGGAAAAGCAATGAATCCCCTAAAACAGACTTTTGGAAGATGCAGAGGTTTTGGTTTATGGCTGCTTGAAGAATTCCTCTAGAACAGGGCTTCTCAAACTTATTTGATCGGACCCTGCTTCTTTGTGTCTGCAGGCGTGCGCACGCGCACACCCCCCCCCCACACACACCCTTTGGGAGGCCCACTCCATAGTTGAGAACTGCTGCTCTAGAACAAAGGGGGGAGGGATAGCTCAGTGGTTTGAGCATTGGCCTGCTAAACCCAGGGTTCTGAGTTCAATCCTTCAGGGGGCCATTTGGGATCTGGGGCAAAAATTGGGGATTGGTCCTGCTTTGAGCAGGGGGTTGGACTAGATGACCTCCTGAGGTCCCTTCCAACCCTGATATTCTATGAAAGAACAAGGCACCTCAGTACTCCTCATTCTTTTTGCTGATGCAGACTAGCACAGCTACCACTCGGAAACCTGCTCTAGAACAGAGGCAGACGGCACAGCTGAGACCTCCCACCTTCTGTGGGGCACTATGTGAAGAAATTAGTGCCAGTGGCAAGACAGGAAAGCAATCCTAAAGACCCTGTGGGTTTGTGCTTTTGTTTAAAAAAGCAAAACTAGTATGGGAGATGCAAAAGGCTAGACCAGGACTCTCCACACACATCTCTCCCCTTACGGTGGAAGGGGAGATCAGCTGTCTTCACAGCAGCATCCACCCTTCCCTCTGCAAACAGTTTGTTGATAAATGTGAGGCAGGAGTGAGTTGGGGCAGGCAGTGGGTGGGAGGTCTCTCTGAGGAGAAAGAACATAGTTCCTTCAGCTGGCCTTCTGGAGAGTATCAAGGAGAGGTGTGCCTGAGGGTATCTTAAGTTTTCCACCTGCCTCAGTGAGAAGGTCCTCCTTTCAGAGGGATCCTGGGGACAGCAGTGGTCAGTGGAATTCCTAGTAGCAAGGCACCATTCGAACCATCTGTCAAGAAAGCCACGGTGGTCATCCAGCATACAGAGCTAGCACAGAGGTTCAAAGCCTCCATGCAGATGGATATGACCTATTACAGACCCTAGGAGATCTGCAGTGGATTGTGGGTGAGCCCCATAGCTCACCCCTAATCTGGAAGTGACTTAAGGTCCCACTCCTCAGAATGGCTGGGATTGAGACTACTGGGGAGCTAGCATACACACACAGCTTCCAGGAGCAAACTGCATTGAGGAAATAAAGCATATAGGCCCAATCTTGAAAGGAGCTGAAAGCCCTCAACTTTTACTGACGTAACTGGGAGTTGAGAGTACTGATAATCTCATTAGGCTCAGGCCCTTAATATATTGCTCAGAACTAAATGGTGCAACACAGTGAAATGTGGTGATACATAAAACTTGCTATGTTTTATATGACTCCTGGTGCTTATTATATTTATACAACACTTACACTTTTTTCCCCTAGGGTTCTCTGAAAAGAACACAGCACAGAATTACGAACGAAGGCGTAAATAAGACATTCCTATGTATTTATTAAACGTCATTTGTTTAAATGGCCAATGCAGTGTAATATAAACTATCCACTGTAAGGACTAATTATTTAATAGTTGTTGGTTTTTTGAGTTGTAAATTCAATAAAATGATTATTTTTCATAGTGTGGCAGCGATACGTGTTGTATAAGTGTGTTTTAGGTCTAAAACGAAGACTCCCCATGGAACTGAAATCAGTGACATTTCACAACAAAGCACATTATTTGAAATGACCTGTAAAGATATGTTCACCAAATAACAAAAAAAGGAAATAAAATTATTTTGTTAATTTAAAGCAATCTTATCCGCTTCACTACCAGTGCAGAACAGAACTGCTGTACAGTCTAGTGCCTCAATTTCTTTCCATGGTTTAAAATGTACTGTAATTTTCATATCAAAAATATATTTGTATCATTGCAGCATGTTTTATGTTTTGTGACTGCGTATATATATATATATCTATTTAAACAAAAGAGGTTTGAATGTGAATCCAAAGTCTTCAGTTCATAGTCTGAAATTTTATGATAGTAACATTTTAAATAAAAAATACTTTTGGGATTTTGCAACATACCTTGGGTAGACTGGTGGAATTATTTCAAACCCAGAATCATCTGAAATAAGATGCAAACTAAGAAAAGATATTGGACTCTAGGAGCAGAAGAAAGCCGGTTATAATTACAGGACTTCATTTTGCTGGGCAAAATATAAGCTTTCTACATGGGGGGGAGGGGTTAAAACTTTGAGGATTCTTTCTAGTTCTGTTTTTAGCGGGAGGGATTCCAGCCAGCTGCCCCTGAGTTGATATATTATGGGCTCAGTCATACAAGGTGCTGAGACCCTTCAATTTCTATTGAAATAAAGCTCAGTACTGTGTAGAATTGGGTCCTATGGCCAAACTCCCCTGGATTCTGCAACTGTGGGGCCACAGAATTGTTCTGTCTTGAGGGCCTAATCAAATCAGGAACTGTAAAACTGTGAATTATACAGAAGAAAAATGGCTATTTGGCTCTCTCAAGTGTTCCTCTTCTACATAGCACTCACCGTCCTCTCCACAAAAGCAAATGCTGAAAAGCCACTCACATCAGGGAAAACAATACACAGCATTTAGTTAGCGTTCTACCTGTTCAAAGTATTGTACAACCAATAACTAATGCCACCTTATAGAGCTGGTCAATAATTTTCTAACTAAATGTTTCTGTGTTGGAACATTATTGAAATTGAAACATTGCCAGGAATGTGTCAATTTTGACAAAATTTGAGTTTGAAAAAAATTGAAATGAAGCATTTTTGATTTTTTACTTTGAAAAGAAACTTTACCTTCTGAAATTACTGTTCTTTTCTTTTGTATTAAAATACAATATTAAGAAAAATGTTAAAAGTCAAAACCAGAATGAAGCATTTCAATTCTGTTTATATAATGTTTCTATTGATCTGAAACAAACTTTTTAAAAGCTTCATTTATTAGGAAATTTTTAAAAAATGACATTTTGTTCTGATGCTGAATGAAGACAAATTTTGAAATATTGGAATTTTGGATAGATGGAAATGCCATTTCCCGATGACCCCGTTACTGGAAAGGTGGGTAAGAAATATTTGCCCCATTTTACACATAGCAATTTGCCCCAGACTCCATAGTAAGTCAGTGGCAGCAGGAGATCCTGATTCCCAAACCTGTGCATATTCCTCTAGCCAAACGTGCTTCTATCACATAGCCTGGAACCTGGTATCTTGATGTTCCATTCAAACATAGCACTGTTGTAACAAACACTGTCTCCTGGATTTTTGTTTACTGAAGCAGGTATATACAATGATCATTTTGCTTCTCTATCACCACCATCCTCTAACTTATTCATTAGTAGTAGTAAGTGAAACAATGGGACTGTACATTATCTGAAGCTTAATCTAAAGGAGAAGGAAGTTTTAAATTTAAACCACATACTACCTGCTAGGCTAAACTGCCTGTTGTTTTCATTCACCTTTACTGGGCAGCTTAAATTTTAAACATAATTTGACTTTGGACAGAACTATTTATTGCTGCTGTCATTCTGTATGATGTCAGCTAGTGAGAGCAATTAGAGAGCTATGCCTGTATTGCAGCATGCCTTGCTTTATAATTAATTTCCTGCTTTCTGCAAGACTCATTCCAATATACACAAAGCTACACAACTGTTCTGGTGGTGACAGGCTGCCATTGCCCAGGCAGAATTGGATAGTCAACAAAGGCATTACCCAATAAAATGCAAACAAGCTAAGGAAACTTAAGAAAGAACCGTATATGAAGGCAGCACTGAAAGAAGTCAGTGAGAGTCAAAGTCATCCCCATTTTATCTTCTCATTCAACTTTGTGCAGTAAAAGAAGAAGAATTAGGAAGTTCACCCTTGTAAAAAGACAAGTTGAGATTGGAAAAAGAACAGAAATTGAGGCCTTGTCACAGCACGTACAACTCACAATTTCTAAATATTCAGAGTATTGAAGTCAAACGCTTAGGATTAGAGTGTTCCTGCCCTAGCATGGATAGATGTGGGGAATGCAGGAGTCTTTCTTCTCATCTTGAGCACCTTACACAAGGATCAGGAACAATCAGTCCCTGTAATTAGGGAACTCCAGGGACTGGTCCTTCTTTGCACTCCTCAGGCAAAAATCATTCTAAGGGGTCATAGCCACAGAATGATACACTTTGCACATTCTCCCTGCACACTGGGGAATTGAGAGTGGGAGTCGCTTTCTTGGGCAGGTGTGGCTCTGCAAAGTTCTCTACCCAAGACTGTGGCTAACTGCCACACTTGAGCCTTTCCTGCTTACCTGCTGAGTTTGTGTTTAATATCCGGTCTAATAAAAGGAGGAAAACAACACAGAAATGCCTGAGTGCTGAGGCAATTTTAAAATTTTTAATTGCGAGAGTGATTTAAAAAAAAAAAACACTTGTTATTCAGAATACACATTGAATGGCTCCCTCTGAGCTGTTGAGGGCTATTGTACATTTTCATGCTCTATTTGAATCCTTTTAAAAAACATTTGTTTATACACTTGGTGTAGCATAAAGAAATATTGTGTAAATCCCTGTACAAAACATCTTTAAAGACAGAATTTTGTCTTGATGGGCTTTAATAGTTCCCTTAGCAGCAATTTTGGCCATTGAGTTAACGAGCACTAGCAAACATTTTAAGCTGAGCATTACTGACAATAGGTCATAGCAGCTCCTTCATAATTGTCTTTCTCTGTTATGTACGTGCAGATATTAGAAATGCATTGTTTGGATAAAACTATACATTTGGTTATCAATGAATCTTATTCAAAATAGGTGCTACTGGAGTAGAGATTGCTAGGGTAGGATCTTGCTTCTGTCAGCAGCAGCATTGATGTCCTTGAGCTAGTCTACTTCTAACAATATTGAGAAAACCGCTTCAAACTGTTTCCAGGATGTTTTTGAAAAGAGTGAACTGACATGTTTGGCCAGAGAGTCTTATAAAACTATTCATTGGCCTGGTCTACACTGTGGGGGGGGGGGGGGGATCGATCTAAGACACGCAACTTCAGCTACAAGAAGTCGACATCTTAGATCGACTTAGAATCACTTACTGTGCGTCCTCACGGCACGGGATCGATGGTGGCCGCTCCCCCATCAACTCCAGTTCCGCCTCTCACCATGGTGGAGTTCTGGAGTCGACGGCAGAGCGATCGGGGATCAATTTATCACGTCTACACTAGACGCGATAAATCAATCCCTGATAGATCGATCACTACCCGCAGATCCAGCGGGTAATGTAGACATGGCCATTATGACAATAAATATCATTTATGCATAACAAATGTGGCTAATGTATTTCTATTTGATAAGATTAAAGGAGTACAGGCTCAGAAACTTTTTTTAACCAGATATTAGGTTACAGGTTCAAAATCAGGAATCTAGAGCGGGACACCTAGCAGGGAACGCTGGACAGTGCCCACTGCTCCTCAAAGGCATCCAGGGAGCCAGTGGACATGGCCCAGAGGAACTGTGCCCAGAGACGTGACTGCAGAAGGGATTGGAAATAGGCCCTGCAATCACAAGAGCACTCCCCGTCCAGCTTCCTCCTCCTGGTATGCTAGAAGACCCCTTGGGCCATTGCCAGGAAGAAGTTTATGAGGAGGCTTCATGACTTTGTAGGGCCACAGATGAGGTGTGCATAAATCAAGAGGTGAGGGGAAAAATGTAGTCAGAACTGGAGGAGGAGTTTTGGAGGAGCTGGAAGAGGGGCTGCAACCTCGTGCACTCAATATTAAATGTGTGCCAAGGTCTCCCTCTCCCAGCAGAAGAAGCGGGTGTCAGGAGAGGTGTTGAACTACTCCAGGTACATGCCCATGCTCACAGCCCCATTCTGTTAGAGAGGCAGCTGAGTGAGTAGCCCTGGTTTGGCTGCGGGTTTGCCTCACAAGACCTTAGGAACATAATTTTCATTGTATATACATAACTTCTTACACAATATCTGACCATACATTTTGCAGTGATTATGTTGATCAGTGTGACATGGGCATTCATTAGAGACCTTACATGACATTCGTGGGGTGAACCCAGGGGATCCCTGTACCTCCGTCTAACCCTATGCCCTCTAAAGGTCTTTGGGTCACTGTACCGTACATCTACATACAACAAGATAGTTCCTGCCTTTGTTACCTAGTGGTCAGGGCTTATGCCATTCGACCTGCAGAGGGGGTTTTGGTAGGGAAGCCTGGGCCCAACCACTCCACCAGGCTCCAGCCCAGGGCCCTGTGAAGGCGACAAAAGCACAATCCTCCAAGTTAAAAAAAAAAGCAGAAAAAATAAAAAATAAACATAACTATCAGACATTCTTTATAAATCATAAAGCTCTGAAAAAAGGGCATAATCTTAATTAAAATAAGGTGCACAAACTCAGTGAAGGGTTAATGAGCTCTTGTGGGCTCAAGCTGTCCTCCTGCCCTTGCCCTGCAAAAGCAGTCATTTTTCAAGGGGGTATTCAAAAGGAGAGAGCCAGTTCAACTGAGGGGAGGCTGGAAAGGTGAGATGATTTCTTGTGCAGCTTCCCTGAAGGGCAGGCAGGCTGGGTTAGAGGGAGGGAGGGAAGGAAGGTGGGATGGACAGACCCAAACCCAGACCCAGACCAAACTCCAACTAGAGACTGTTAGATGCTAGAGCCTCCCAGAAGGAATGTAGGCCTGGTGTGGGCCTGTTGCATTCGCTTTGTTGCCTGCAAGTGTGTTCCCTTTTTGACCTGAGGTATTGTGTTTACTGTTCTACTTGAGACTTACGCGTTATCTGAATGGAACTACAGCAGTCAATTGTGCTGGGTCCTGAAAAGAAACAACTGCCCTCAGTAAACCTTTATTGGTTTGCTCCCTACTAAAGTCCAGGCACTGATTTCTTTCCTGAACCCTGAAGTATAACATGGTCACACAATTAAATAAGATTTAAGGGGACCAGATTTTACTTTGGTGACCAGTGATTCCCCTTTAGACTACTGAATAAGTGACCATTGGGAACAATGGGAGCTGGTGGGTACTTATCACTTTTGAAAAGCTGGTAGCTTCATTTAGGTGCCTTAATGGGAGC